ATTGAACCGTGGTCCCTGTGCTTTGCTAAGCTTGTTCTAAGTAGGTGCTTTAGACCACTGAGCCATCTCACCAGCCCCTGTTCTTTGATCTTAGATATTCAGGAACCAACACTGGGAATGTGCACATCATTGCAGATTTATATGCGGAAGTGATAGGAGTTCTTGCCCAGTCAAAGTAAGTTCTACAAATCATTGATTTTTGCCTTGCTCTGTGGTATAGAATGCTTCAGTGCTAACTGGTGCGGAAGACACTGATAGTTTTAGATATGCTGTTTTGCCACTGGGTTTTCAGAAAGCCCCTTCCCCCTTTTATTACTCACTGCTCTGTTCCTCCGGGGCTCCTTTGAGTATCCATCCGTCAGTTGTACAACTTCTTTTAATTTATTGGAGGTTTTCCATAAATACCTGAATCAAGTAAGTCAGAAGTTTCTAATAACGTTTCCTTTTTTTCCTATTTTTAATAATTCTCTGAGAAGTGGTTTTCAAAATTTTTTTAGAATTGTTTATAGAACTGATAATTACTTTTAGTACCCTCAAGTTAAGAGCTTTTATTTCTGAGATTGCAATACTGTGTCTTCTAATTATCTTGTTTCAATACTAAATAGTACTGAATAGGAAAAGCAAAGAAAGAAAGAAGGAAGAAAGAATAAAAAAGAGAGAAAAAGCTAGGATTACTCCATTATCATTTGGAGTTACATTCATTAAGTTTTATTGAATCATCATTTAGTAGAGAGTAAAGAATGTTTAGTACCTTAGAGTTGCTGCAAAAGCTGGGATATTTTGGATTTCCTTTGGTTGCTACTGGTGGTAGGGTACAGTGAAGGTATGAAACAAGAGGGGAACTGTAAGGGATATATTTGAATATCTAAGTTTTGTGATTGTAATATCTAATAATTTTTTGAGAAATTTAGTAAGAAAAACGAATAATGAATTCTAATATATTAAAGTGGAAAGGTCTTCATCTATCTTCTAAATATTTTTTAATAAAATGATAAAGAGTAATTTGAGGTAAAATAGTATTCTCCAGGGTTCAAATTAAAGTAGGTGAATTATACTTCCTAACATGTGTCAGCATTTTGTTAATATATGGTTTTCTGTTTTTTCTCCCTTTAGTCAGTGCCCGTTGGAAACATGCCTTATCTGGAGTCATTCTAACTCTCAGGCAGTAGTTCCCTAACTAATTTTAATAATACATTTTAATCATTTTATAACAGTAGGGTAATTATTATTGATCTCTGAACTATTAGATGTCTTCTCAGTGTAAGCAGAGAAACACCTATCAGTCTTCACAACTGTGATGACTTTAATCCAAGATTGGATTCACATTAAAGCCTCCCTTTTTTGTAGCTTATTGTCATTCTGAAACTGTTATCCCCTCTCTCTCTTCAGTTTTTCTACAGAGAAATGAGGTGCTAGCTTTAAGAGAGAATTGATACTATTGCTTGGTTTATCTCTTCAATACATTTATGGTCCCCAGTCTGCTCTCTGTGTAACTCTCAACACAGACTTTAAAAATATTAAAACTTGGATGTAGTCTCTTATTTATATAGGTATGTCTTACGACCAGATTACTTGATCTTATTTATTATGATTACTGGTGAAGAATAGTAATGAGACTGTATTGATTACATCAAAGGAATTAATAAATCTGATTATTTTTTCCTTTATGAACTCTGAATTTTAAAGTCAACCAACAACAAATTCAGTATAACTGTTTCACTTCCTGTTGTGTACTTTTCTAGACATTTTCATGAAGGCAGAGGAAAAAAATTATATTTGGGCAACATGCATCTTGATTTCACCTTAAAGATCACGTAGGAAGTTAGTGTTCTAAAGTCACATCAAATTATGTCTCCCTTGGGGCCGGGGAGATGGCTCAGTGGAAAAAGCGCTTTCCTGGCAAGCGCAAGGCCCTGAGTTCAATCCCTGGTTCCGCCAAAAAAAAAAAAAAAGATATAATAAAAATTATGTCTCCCTGTATATTAAAGGTTTCAGGCTGTAAGGAAGAAGTTTGTGACAGAATTAAAAGAACTGCGACAAAAGGAACAAAGCCCACATGTGGTGCAAAGTGTCATCAGCTTAATAATGGGAATGAAATTTTTCCGGGTAAAAATGTATCCTGTAGAAGATTTTGAAGCATCTTTTCAGTTTATGCAGGTAATGTATCTTCTCACTGGTAGTATTTAGAATTAGCTCAGCAGTGATTGTCCTTGTCCTTTATAACTTTTTAGAAGAAATAAAATTACATTAGTTTGCAACATCATTATTAATTTCTTACTCTTGTTAAATTCTCACAAGTTTAGAATTATTGTAATTATTAACTTAAGGATGCCCTGACTTTAGTTTTTATTAAAATAGTTCACAAAGTTATGCTACTACAAAGTTTTAACCTTTCTCCTTTTTTAAATCCTTTTTCTTTTCAAGGAATGTGCTCAGTATTTCTTAGAAGTAAAAGATAAAGATATAAAACATGCACTTGCTGGTTTATTTGTGGAGATTCTTATCCCCGTAGCTGCTGTAAGTATATCGATTTTACACCATTCATATGTCATATAGAAGCCATAGAATGTTCTACTTCAAGTTTTTACATGAAGATTTGCCAGGCAGTAAGCAGGGGCCATCAAAAGGTTCACTTCATTTGTCCTAAGAGGGCGATGACTTGTTCTGTTGATTCATGTGTAGTGTTTTGTGTACCATTTCATAAGTTGTGTTTCGTGCTGAGATATATCTAGTCCTCAGTACTGTAACCTTGGCTAGAAATAGAAATTAATTACAGTGGTTGGTTTTGGTTTTTTGAGACAAGGTCTTACTGTGTAGTTCATTGACAATCCTCCTGCCTCAGCCTCCCAAATGTTGGGATTTCAGGGGTGTACCACCTCTCCCAGTGAAATTAATTACATTCTTGCACTCAGATTTTATTCTACTTAAATTTCAAAAAAATAAATTTATTTTCATGTTGAGCAATTGAACTGTCTTGGATTTCTATTATTTTTTTCTCCTTTTTTTGTACAGTGGAATCTAGGGCCTTCACACTGGGCTACATCCCTTCCTTTTTTGTTTTGGATTTTGAGACAGATTCTCAATGTGTTACCCAGACTGGTAACTTGAGATCTTCTGCCTTTGCCTACCAGAGTATTGGGATTACAGGTGCGTGCCACCATACCTGGTGTTGGCTTTCATTTTTAATCTTTGAGTTCACTGATGTGTGACCTGTATGTTTAATGAACTGATTCATAGGATTCTGTTCATTAATGGCTTTGGAGCATGTTTAGAAAAGGTGGACTAAGAATTATAAGAAATATTAAGAATTTAAAAGTAGTAATGTCAGAATGGTTGGCCTGATTTTTTTTAACCTGTCTTGAATGTTTACCTAGATTTGATGTTTTTTTAATGAGGACAAACAAATGTCATGAATTAAAGTTTCTAAGTGGTTTAAGGAGTCCCACTCACCCTCCCATGCCAGCGTTAACCTTGAGAATTAGGCTTATATTCCCGAGCAAACAGATTGTCAATTTGTAAAGCCTCTTTAGTTGTACGCCAGCATTATTAGTAAGTAGACCTCCTTTTCTCTTCCTAGAAATGGTTTGAAATCACATTATTCATCTCAGATTGTTTGTGGTCCCCTTGTAGTCTGACAATCCTTTGTGGTTGGGGGGGACAGGTATTTAGGAAAATTAATTTAAGAAGTTAAGTTTTAGTTTCTAAGGAAATTGACAAGAAGGAAGTGCTTGTAGAAAGGAAACCTCTTCATTGTTGTCCATTCTCACTGGGTTTGCTGCTCTTTCATACTCCGTTTTTGTGTCCAAGTTTATCACTGTGCTAGGGCTGCCAAAATTCTGTCCTACAGCCTGGGTCACTTACCAACAAAGCTGTTTTACAGTAATGGTGCCTTGCATTTTGAGGTCAGGGGGCAGCAGGATGGTCTTTGCTGAAGGCTATGAGGAATTTGCTCCATGCCGCTTGCCTGGCTCCTATTGGCTTACTGAAAAATCACTGGCCTTCCTGGCTTGTGGGAGCAGCAATCTGCTGCCTACTGTTATTGGAACATGGTGTTTTCCACGTGTACATGCTGTGTTGGATGAAAGAACCCCTCATTCTGCCTTGACTAATGTGATCTACAAATGAGCTGTCCTTAAGTAAGTTCACATTCTAAGGTACTTGCAGTTAGGACTTCAGCATACAACTTTGTGGGGACATGATTCAACCTATAACCTGTCACTAGCCCTTTCTGCCTGAAACATTTGGTCTCTTAGTAACAGCAACCCTGCTCTTTTCCTGGCTGGCTTGTGTTTATCAGACCTATCCTATTCATTCATCAAATGTATTGAGTGTTCTCTATATGTCAGGGCCTAGTCCATACACAGGAAGTACAACAAACAAGGCTTTTTGCTATTGTGGAACTTCTAAAACAGAAGACAGAAAATAGACTAGTAGATGAAATACGTGGTATTTGTCAGATTGTGGCCAGCACTGTGAAAATCTGTAAGCAAGGTAGTGGCAAAGATAAATGTTGTCAGAGTTGAAATGTTGATTAGAGTGTGATTGGGAAAGACCACCATCTTTAAAAAGATGGCGCCAATTCAGCAAAAACTAGAGGAACAAATGATAAAGACTTGCTCCATCTGGGGGGATGTATCGCAGGCAGGAGGAACACACATAGGATGCTCTGAGGCAAGGCCATGGCTCCTTTGTGTTTTAGGGTCAGCAAGGAAGCTAATGTGCCTGGTTCCACAGCCAGAGGCAGGGCAGTGGCTGATAGGGCCAGAAGGATTAAGTAGGAGTCTGATGCAATGTTAGGGCAAGACTTAGCTGGCTGTAGCCTTGAAGCTGCTTCTTCATGGAGATACTCACTCCAAAGGGCCCCTCTGCATGCTCCCAGAGCCCAGACTGCCTGCTGTCCCAGCACCTCACAGGCTGGACTCACTACGTGTTTGCTCACCAGTATCTGTTTGTTCACACAAGACTGGAACCAGGTTTATCTTGTTTGTTTAGCCCTGGGTCATTTGGTACATTATAATACTTCAATTCAGATATTGGTGAATTATTAACTTACTTAAAACCTTACAGCAAACATTTGTGATCCTTCTAAAGTTTAATAGTTGTAATCATTTCCTTTCTGTCTGTATTGCCTCTTCACCAGGCTGTTAAAAATGAAGTGAATGTTCCCTGTTTGAAGAATTTTGTGGAGATGCTCTATCAGACTACTTTTGAACTGAGCTCCAGGAAGAAGCATTCCTTGGTATTGAGAAATATTTAAAACCTCTACAGTATTTTAGTTGGGAGCTTTAGTCATTGATTTGGAAATTTATTGGAGATTTAAGAGAATTGTAGAGTTCCCCCAAGTTCACTACAAGGGCAGGTTTAACATTCTTATTTTCTCCTGCTCAATTTTAAATGATATTCTTGATTTATTCTTACTACCTCTGTATTCAAGAGGCATAGTGGCTGGGGAGATGGCTCAGTAAATAAGTGCTTCCCTGGCAAGCACAAGGGCCTGAGTTCAATCCCTGGTTCTAAAAAAAAGAGGTTTCTCAGAATTTCTTCTAGATCTTTACCTGTCTTGACAGGTCCTTTGTATTATATGAGAAAGATTGAATGTAATCTTATATTAAGAATAAATTCCTTTCTTTTACATTACATTAAATTATATTCTAAAGTGTTAGATTTTTAAGGAACCATTCTCCATTTGATTACATCTCTTCTGTGCAGAGATAGAAGACATTTTCTTTCTCACTTCATCTTCCACTGTTATTTTAAACAAGGGCAAACAGGAAGCTGGCTCTTCTGTCCTGTAAGCCTAAGGCCTGGACTCAGAGCCTCTGTACTGGAGGAGGAATAAGATGGGCTGGGAACAAAGCAGAGCAGTTCTGCCTCAGTGAGATGACAGTCAAAACGCATGCCTCTACTATTCTTTATTAGGTTATTTGATGAGATTACATTTCCCATTAGAAATGGAAAACTACAGAAAAAGGTTTTTTAGGTTCTTTGTTATGATAATAAATGAAACAATTATTTGTAAGTTTGGTGCGTTTTCATGAAACTTGTTGATTCTTCTTTTCTGTATCTCCTACAGGCTTTATATCCATTAATTACCTGCCTTTTATGTGTCAGTCAGAAACAATTTTTTTTAAATAACTGGCATATTTTCCTACAGAACTGTTTGTCACATTTAAAGGTAAGATGTAATTACATTTCTGTCCTGTGCAGATTATAATATATATTCATTTAGGCATATACATTGAACAGTATGTAATAAAATATTCAGTAACTGTTGGTCTATTTGAATAATACTTTGGTGCGTTCTTTTTCATGTTTCGACTTTATTTCTTCTCTGAGGAATCATGGACAGAAAAGAATAAACTTTTAATTGAAATTATAGTTTGTTTTAATGCAAATGTGTACATTTTCAAGGATTGTTGTTTGTATTATTTTAGATATAGCAGTATTAATTTTTTTAAGAATTTAAAAATAGAATCATAAATTCTATTATTTATAGACTTCTACTATTAATTTCACAAAGCCCTCCATACATGGGCTTTGTCTTTCGTGAAAATTCAGTAGTGTGGCTTAGGTCTGAATCATGTAAAAAATGCGTTGATAAGAAAATATCACTAAAAGCACGTTCAACCTAATTAGGCCTAACTAAATAAAAAGTGTGCTGCTGGTGCCAAGCAGGTGCAGAAGCTCCTGAAACAGTTACATCTTGAATTAAGGGGCTCATGTGGCTAACACAGTGGCACGCCCACCTTCTTTGTCTCTCGTCATTGATAATGAAACTGAGAGGTAAGATCTTTTCTTCCCAGGATGCTCGCTAGCAGGATGCTCTTTTCTTCCTTGGATAGGAATCATGTCTGACCCAGAAGGTGGGGCCATTCTTCATCAGCATGCCCGGTGAATGCTCTGTGAACGCTCCCTTGCTGTAATTAGATGAGGCTGTGAGAGTGTTTGCTTCTAAGTTACAGAAACATTGCACATGGGACAGTTCCATTCCTGTTGTTCCTCTAAATTAGACTTGTGACTGAAGCCTTATAGTTTGACAATAAATTGAGTCGCCGAGAGACTAAATGACCTCCCTTTCTCTGGCTGTGGTTCCATGTGGTACTGTGAGAGATAGGACTGCTTCTTCAGAGTTCAGGAATCATCCACTGGATGTGATCCTGTGTATCTTTTTAATTATTATTTTTTTTAATTATTTATTTTTATTTTTATTTTTTTTCTTTTTAATTATTTTATGTATCATTTTCAAAGCTGCTTTGATTTCTTAGTAAGGTATATGGTATCTATATGACTTTGAAAAACATTTTTGTCTATTTTCCTCTTAGATATACATTGATATTATTCATATTTGGATGAGAATTGATATTGCTTCTGTGCTTTATTTATGAAAATTCCCAGGACCAAACCAAGCTGACTAGATTCTTTATGTCTTGCAACCAGGAAAGAAATTTAATTAATTACATTATACTTGTTTCTGTCCTTATTTTGATAATTCACACAGATACAGGTACTAAAAAGGAATGGATCCTTTTCTGGGTAGTATAATTTTTTCATACTTTCAATAAAATATTTTAAGACATGCTTTTAAGTGTTTCTGGAAGGTTGCTTTGTTTCATGACAGTTCATACCTTTCTGTTGCTTGTTGAAATTTTTTTTAATATATATATATATATATATATAGATATATATACATGTTTCCACCTAACATTTGCAGTACTTTCGCAGTAACTTAACTTTTTTTTTTGTCTTAAGGCTTTCATTTAAAATGCTCTGTTTTCTTCAGTCCCTTACCTCCTGTTACATATGTCTGGCATATTGCCCATTTTCATTAATGGCTATATCAATCTGCCAGACTAAAGGAGATAAGAGCCACTTAGCATGAATATTTGGAATATAATTGTCTTGGCCATTAACCCTTAACTTACATTAAGGCTCTATTCAGCAGAAATTTTATGACTTGGCTCCTGTTTTAAATCTTAGATAATGTGGCTGCTGTGGTAGTTGAGGCAGGGAGCTTTTAGCATTCAAGGAAAAATTATGCTAATTATCTGGTATATTAGTTGGAATTTATTTATTTATTTTTTACATTTTGGAAAAGTGATCCAAGATCCTGACTGAATTAATTAGCAACCAATAACTTTATGTCTCAAGTAATATCTTGATTTAAATAATAACATATAAAACAATTTTTTACTTCTTAGACCAACTCCTTGGGACTGATTTTGATTAATATTTAGTGAATGTTAGCTTCAATCTCTCATTTAGTTTGCACTGTACCCGAGGCTGAAAGAATTTAAGTAAATGACCTGTGTTTAGAAAGACAATAAATGAGAGACAGCGAGAGCTTTACATCTAGATCCATTTCTGTAATTTCTGCTCTTTCTGGTGCACCATATTATTTTGAATGTACCACAAAGAATGTTGCTGTACTAAATACTTTAAGAAAATATTTTGGATATACTTCTGGGATATTAAAAAGACATTCTCTAGTCATATGAATAAATTATGATTTTCAAGATACTTTAAAATATTGGAGATCCCCCCCCAGCAGGTGCTTATTCTACTGAGCTATCTTCCCAGCCCAGAGTATTGGAATTTTAAAATTAATCTTACCAATTTTTAGATTGAGTATAGGAAAAATTGGCCTTATTTTTGTATGCCCTTAAATAATGTGTGTCATTTTATTTCCATAGAAGTTAAACTTCTTAATTTTGTCCCAAACAGAATTATGTAGTTTCCTATTCTTTTGATCAGTTAATGTGCTTATGAAAAAATTTTTAATATTTCTAAAGAATTGTTCAGAAAGAGGAATAATAAGAGTAGTTGTATAAAAATAATCTGGAGATTTTTTTTGTACCTCCATAGTGTATTCTTATTTTCTTTTAAATATTTAAAGTTGTTTGAACTCACATTCAGTGCTTTAAGAGGAAAAAACTTCTTTAAGAGAGTTAGAAATGTAAGTGTGTTCTTTCAGTTTGAGTATGTTAGGTACATCGTATGATGCACAAGTTGTGAGATTTTTTTTTTTTTTTTCATTGTTTCTGGCCACTATCTTTAAAATTTAAAATTTCTTCTAAATAGAGACCTTGGTAAAGAGCTGTCTTGTTTTGTGCTTATTTTCATCTAACATGCATGTGCTGCATCTCATGTTTATGTTTGCTGTCTCACATTGCTTTATTTAGATGCCATCTAACAACAGTATCAGAAAACAAATAGAAACACTTCAGGTGAGTTGTGTTGGCATTGCACCGTAAAATACTGCTTTATTTCCTTAAGTGTGGCATTTGTTCTTTTCCTTTTCCCATTGTTGCATTGCATGTCTGAGGTACTTATTCAACCTGCTTCCAGTATTGTAAAAGAAATGTTCAGCCATAGCAGGCGAACTATTAATGTGGTCCCAAGAAGAAAGATTTAAGGGGAAAAAAATGGCATTGAATGCTGATTCTTCAGCAAAATTTACAATTTAAAGATACTATGTTTCGTATACATTATTTTTTATTTATAAAAAAACTTCCAGTGAACAAGCAGACAGTAGTTTAGATTTTGAACATGATTTTTTGGTATGTTGATTTTCTTTTGGGGCTAGGGATTGAACCTAATACATGCTAGTCAAGTGCTCTACCAGTGAGCTACATCCTCAGCCTTTGAATATGATTTGATGAATAAAGGTTTTTAAAATTTGTACTCTGTTTATTTAGGTTTTTAACATATTTTTTTAAAGCTTATCATAGGGAAAAAGGGTAGAAACTGAAATGATTGCTACAAAAATTGTATTTAACTGATATCAATATTGTATATTAATGTCATTTATTTTTAATGTATATAATATGATTATTTAATATAGATGAAAATTATAACTGGAAAATTATATATCTGTTTTAAAGCTCAGATCAATTTAGAAATTTTTTATTCAGACATGGCAACATTGTAGTGACTAAAAAATTAATAATTGATTTTTATCATTTTTCATTGTGCTGCTTTTGCATTGTGCCAATCATAGCTTTGTAAACATAGTTCATTTTGGAAAATCTGAAAATAAAATCTTTATGTCACATACCTCATTACTTAAGAAAATTCAAATAATTTTGTGTTTAGTCATTTATATGATAACAGTTTTTATGTGGAATAGGACTTACATATTTTAATGTATAGATTTTATTAGAGTTTTAAAAGTAACTGAATTTTATTTGATCTATATATGAAAAGTAAAAGGTATATGTTGAAAATAATATTTAAAAAATTTTGTTTTAGGGGAGCAATTTCAGAGTAAGAGTAAGAGGAAAGTGTAGAGAGTTCTCAAAGTTTCTTCTGCACACACACATGCGCAGCCTTTCTAATCTCAGCATCCCTGTTGGAGTAGTGCATTGGTTATAAGTAGTGAAGCTACATTGTCACCCAGATCTGATAAGATCGTTAGGGTTCTCTTTTGGCGTCATGCCTTCTGTGGGTTTTGACAGGTGTAAGTGATGTATTCCTAGTGCCAGTGTCAAATAGTAGCTTCACTGCTGTAAAAGTCTGTCCTCGGATTATTCACCCTTTCTTCCCTTGCTGATTTCTTGCTGAGTAAAAATATTTGTATTTAATATCTGCAACTTAAATAATAGAAATGTTTTATTAAAGACATTACTGATACAGTTTGGATGTTATATTCATAACATACATTATACATTAAATTGTTACATTAGCAACAAGCAGAAAACTACTTAAGTATATTTTAAATTTATAATCATTATGGATCTGGCAGTGGAGAGAGAGACCAATTTTGAAGATCTGGCCAGTAGAGTAATTGATTTTCCATTCTTAATTATGTCAAATAATTGCCAATAATATTTTATAGTGGCTCTCATAAAAAACACTCTTTTTGTATTGCTTTTGGTCATATGTATTAGGTGTATTAGTTTATCTTAAAAAGTTGAATGGCTAAAGTAAATATTTTTTGAATCTAATAGTTGTCTAATTGTTTAAGAATGAGAAATCCACCAAACCAAATTCTTTAAAATACAAATTTATAGCATTCACTACCCCCTGCAAAACAGTTAACAAATGTAGAGAATTTTTCTTGATGAAAAATATTAGGTAAATGTTTAAAATTCACTATTAAATTTTATCACATGAATATGGGTATTTAAGAAAGTTAGCTTTTTTTTTAAAAATACTTTTTGTACAGGGCCTCACCATGAAACTCGGGCTCATAGTGATGCTCCTGTTTGCAGTGCCCCGACGCCTGGTCTTGGTGGCCGCCTCAGCATGCCCAGGGGTGGGGCTGGCATAGCCTGTGGTGCCCAGGTCCTTGGTCCCTGCACTTGCCTATGCAGGCGCTTAGTCCACTGAGCCATCTCGCTGCCCTACCCGCTTTTTGAGGCATCCTCTTACTAATAGCTCAGGATGGTTTTGCACTCCTTATATAGCCCCAGGATGCCTTGAACTTATGATTTTCCTGCCCCAGTGCCCCAAGTTTGAGATTGCAAGTGTGCACCACCATGCTCAGCTTAAAAATGTTAGTTTTTACAGTAGCTAAAATAAGAAAAATTTTGCTGATCAAATGATTGAAATATAATAATTATCTGATTCTTAATAATTTAAATAACAAGTGTTTTGATTCTAAATAAAAGAAGTATAATTCTTGCAAATGGTCATTCAGCACTTGCCAGGTGCTATTCCAAGTGCTTTATAAACACCAGCTTTCATAGTCTGTGAGGTGGATGTCACAGTTGCCCCACTTGAGAGATAAGAGGCTGTGATGTAGTGGCCTGACAGCTCCTGGTGGGGACAGGGCCTGATCTCTGGTGTTCCTGTTGAGAGGCTATGCCTAATTCTCTAGTTCACATGATCTCTTGTAAGAATGTACCAAGTGTTTTGTATATTGTTTCACAAATGCAAATGACTGTAATATAGTGCTCTAAACTTTTACCACAGATGGGTTGCAAATTAATTACTCTAGAGATGACTAATCCTCTTGTAATTATGTCAAAATTGCAGTGTGAACCATTTATCAAGTAATTTTATATGTGTGTAACTTTGGAGATTTTAGAAATAGTAATAGAATTCTTTTTATTGGTTTATTTTGAGAATATAAGCAAGAGCTCAAAACTATCTTTTTCATGTTATTTTAGCCATCTATACATGCCACATACTAAACACCTATGTTTTTAAATATGTTTTAAATCAAATATTAAAAAAAAAAACAGGAGCTTTTGTTTGTTGACAGAATGTATTTGATGTTAAGGGAATGCAAATATTTTAATACATTTATTCTTACTCTCTTTTGTTTTAAAACAGAATAAAGATCCTAAAATGTCTCGAGTTGCACTGGAATCTTTGTATAGATTGTTGTGGGTTTATGTAATTAGAATAAAATGTGAAAGCAACACTGTAACTCAAAGGTGAGTACCTTTGTTTTAAAATGTGCTTAAAAGAAAATCTTGGGCCTAAGGGTATATGGGTCAGTGGTGGAGCTTGTGCAATGCCAAATTCAGTCCTTAGCTTCAAGAATAATAAAATAAAATATTGCTGAAAAAATCGCACTAGTGGAATTTTACTTAAATATCTTGGTGGAGAATATGAATTCTCTTGGAATAAAGGACAGAAAGAAATTTTTTTTTTTACCCATATGCTATTAATGTCATCATCTCATCATGCTGAATTCTTTTCTTCCTATAGTCGTCTTATGAGCATTGTGTCAGCACTTTTTCCCAAAGGCTCACGAAGTGTGGTTCCTCGTGACACGCCTCTCAATATATTTGTGAAGATTATTCAGTTCATTGCTCAGGTGAGCACTTTGCCTCATAATAGATGCCATCGAAGACCTGTGGGCAGCCTGTGCTAGGAAATGGGAGTGATTATATTTTTTACACATGCTAACAAATATTGGTTAATATAATGAAAAACATTAGTATGTTTAAAAAGTAAAAACAAAGTGTACTATTTATGGTGACAATAAGTGTAAGTCATTCATTTACAAGTGTTTTATAAATCATAGTGACTTTTTAAATTAAAAGTAAATTTCTTATACAAAAGACACATTGCTGTCAGCGCCCCCAGCACTCCCCTTGGCTTTGCACATGTTTGTCATTCTTGCCACTTTCTGAAGCAGTTCTGGAAGTCCTCTTTGGTCTCTGGCTGCCTCTATTTCCTGACTAGATTTAAATGTTTATGGCAAATCCTGTCAAATAAAAGCATTGCAGCATGTCCTTCTCCATCTAACTCACTGGAGCTGGAACACCGTGACTTCTGGCTCTTTCCTCAAGTCAAAATGACCCTGAAAGGTAAACATTTTGAGTTGAGTCAGAGGCAGCCATGACAGTGCAACTAGAGACCCTCACTAAGCAGCTGCTCCAGACGGCGGAGCAGCAGCGGGATGTGTGTGTTCCAAGTGAGGGGGAGCGTTTTGAGGGGAATTAATGAGAATGTGCCTTTTACTGTAATTTTAATTTCTTAAAAAATCCTATTCACCATATTTTTAATCCTATCTTCTACTTGGAAAAGGAAGGAAGACACAGAGGTAGAACTTTATAAAGTCATGAAAGTATTTAACAATCTCATTTACTAAGTACCCCTGAGGATCTCAAAAGATTTCTTAGAAAATTATTTTCATAGTCTATATTAATTTAGGTTATGAACTTCAGATAATAAAATCCAATGTAGCTATTAAATCCACTGGGATCTTACAGCTCTCAGGATTGCTAGTAGGACTGAAGAAACAAATTCTAATCTGAATGATTTGGAGAAAGGTACACATTGTGTTGTCTAGAGGCTGCTTGCTGCTCTGCTGAAATAGAAAATCTGTGAAGTAGAGCAGTCTCCAAGTATGAGTTTACTTCAGGGTTCTGCATTTCATCAGTGAAATGGATTCCTTCCTTCCTTCCTTCCTTCCTTCCTTCCTTCCTTCCTTCCTTCCTTCCTCCTCCACTTTCCTCCTCTTCCTTCTCACAACCCCAGTTCCTAAAGACTCATGTCTACACCACTTTATAGATTTTTTTTTTTTTTTTTTGTAGAACCAGGGATTGAACTCAGGCCCTTGTGCTTGCCAGGCAAGTGCTAATTCCACTGAGCCATCTCCCTGGCCCCCACTTTATAAGGTTTAAATTACATTCTGAACTTTATTGTTACTGGCAAATGCTGTTCATTTTTCTTGCCTTTGCCCTAAAACAAGGTTTATTAAACCAGGTGGCACAAAGCTGTAATCCTAGCACATGGGAGGCTGAGGCAGGAGGATTGTTGTGAGTTCAAGGCTAGCTTGGGTTACGTAGTAAGTTCAGGGCCAGTCTGAACTGTGTAAGGAGATCTGTCTCAGAAACAAAAGGTGGCGGGTGTGGTGGTGGGGTGTCATTATTAAATGGGTGTGGAGTGAGCCAGTCTGAGGTTTTGGTTACATTTCCTCCTGGGGTTTCTGCCCTGTAGAAAGAGGTAGGATGACCTCAGATTAAAAGATGTTGATTCCAGAATAAGGATTATCTTCTCTATGAATAAAACATGTGATGATTTAGATAATCCTTAATGAAATAATTTGTGACAGAGGAGAAAAAAAGGAACGTTTAAACAAAATGAATGCATTGCTATTTACTGGAGCATATCTAATGCCTTTTCTGTTTTTGAGAATTGTACCCATTCCCTGAGGTGAATTGCTTCATCTACCAGCCCACCAGCTCTGTGAAACACCTCTTGGGCACCAGTCTCCTCGTCTTTTTTTGCTCTTGGAATTTTGTCTGTAGCCCTGCGTTCTTCTGACCCTCTCTGTTCCCTGTTCTTGTTGCATAGCTACTGTCCTAGGACTTCCTTTCTTCATCCTTCAAGAATTCTTCCACTGAAGTTTTGGATATGACTTTGGTGAAAACTTTTATTGGTTTGGGTAGTAAACAAATTGTCTGATTAAATAATATATTTATACTATTTTAACCTTTTTCTTTTGTTCAGCTAGATTTATGTATGTTTTGGTTTGTCTGTTTAGTGGTACTGGGGTATTTTACCACTGCATTCTATCCCGTCTTTTTTACATCTTTCTGTTTCAAACAAGGGTCTCCCCAAGTTGCCCAGGCACGAGTTGAACCTGCCATTCATCTTCTACCTCAGCCTGCCTCAGTGATGGGTTACTGGCATGTGCCACCACACCCTGCTAGATTTATGAATTATTAAGAGCATAAACCTGCATTGTTGCTATTGTGTTTATAACTGTTAGATACATAATCTGTACCAAAAAGTTACAAGACTTATTAATTTTTTTTTCTCTAGGAACGTTTGGATTTTGCAATGAAAGAAATAATATTTGATCTTCTCAGTGTTGGAAAATCTACAAAAACTTTCACCATTAATCCAGAGGTAAATATACATAGTGTCCTGTACTATTTGTTTATTTCCTTTCAACAATGTTTCTGGAGTCAAAATGCTTAGGTTCAAATCCAGTCTCTACTTCTCACTGTGGGTGCTATGCTGGACACCTTATTTAACATTTCTCTACTGACTGAATGGTTTAATGATAGTAGTAAGCATGGTAGAAAATAACAGAAGGACATTTTTCCAGTTTAGCCAACTTGGCTGGGTTTTAGAGGTTGTGACATTAATTCTTTTACTTTACATGGTTTATGTTCAAAGTGTTCTTTAATAAATATGATTTATTCAGCATTTATTGAGCACCCAAAATGTAGCAGGTACTATTCCAAGTACTGAAGGACAAAAATACTTTCACTCAGAATTAATTTAAAAAGAAAGAGAAAAATTCATGGAGAGGGAAAGAAAGATGCCCCCCAAATAAGTGTTAACTCACACTTCTGTCCGCTTTAGTTGTGAGAAATTACATTTATAGATAGTTTCAAAATATTTTACATCCTGATTGCTTGTTAGAATCTAATGACATTGAGAAGATAAGGAGGCAAAGCAACTGCTGTCTTTCTTATTTATTTTAAATTACGTTGCTAGTTCATCTTGTAATTGAATCTTGAGTCATTTCTTTTTAATGTATTTAGTACGGGGTCTACAAGGTCTCACTACATAGATCGGACTTGTTGTGGTCCTCCTGTTTTCAGCCTCCCAAGTGCTGGATTACAGGCGTGTGCCACCACATCCAGTCTCAATCGCCGCTCAGTGTGCCCCAGAGACAGGGCCGGCGCAGCACGCTGAGGATCGAACCCCAGCTACTGCGCTCTGCCTAAGCAGGCACTTTAGTCTGCTGAGCTATCTGACTGGCTCTTGTAATTGAATCTTAAGATATATGTTGAACAAATGAGTTGGACAATTCTTAAAGCTTTTTACTTATAAAATCATTAAGATAAGCTAATAATTATTTCTATGCACTTTTTGAAGGTGCATAGACATGCATGTTTTTATAGATAACATATAAAATTAACATGACAACAAAAGTCAAAGAACACAAGAGATTTTTTTTTTTTTCCAAAAGAGGTTTTCTCGAGCATCGTTTTTTCCCCTGATACTGGTGATTGACTTCAGGGCTTCACACATGACGGGCAGATGCTGCAGCACTGAACTTCATACCAGCCCTTAGGCATCCATGTTTTTTTTCTTTGAAGAAATGCTTATTCAAATCCTTTTCCCATTTTTTCTTTTCTTTTTTATTTTTTAAATAATTGTGTTGGAACTTTTTAGGTCTAAATAATGATAACATTCATCGTAGGGAATTTGAATTTGAACATGATATATCTTAATTTTTCTTTTTTCCCTATTCTTCCCTTCAACCTCTTTTTCCGTTGTTATTTTTCCCCCCTTGTTATTTAAAAAAGCTTTGTTTTCATGTTTTATTGCTCTCTGTCTCTGTCTCTGTTTCTCTGTCTGTTTGCCTCTGCCTTTGTCTGTCTGTCTGTCTGTCTGTCTGTCTGTCTGTCTGTCTGTCTGTCTGTGTCTCTGGCCCTTCTTTTCCCCTTCCATCCTCCTTAGTCTCCATTTGAACAGTTTCTTCCTATTTCATAATACCTAATACACATTTTGGTCCTTAGTTACCCTTTAAGTTTCTTACACGAGAAGAACAATGTGATTTTTTTTTTTAATTAAATAGCTACAACAATTTGTTTTATTAGTTCTGACTATGGGGGGAAAAATCATAAGAACAATGTTGGAAAAATCTAGTTCTTTTAGAGTCCCAAATTACTTTTAAAACAGTAAAACAAACTATAAAACCCACACAAGTGGTATTAAAAATTATGTAGTTCAATAAATGCGACATTCACAAATGTGCTTGTAATTTTTTTAACTATAGCAAAGTGAGCATGGGTCTAGTGACTGGGTCTAGGAAAGGTAGTGTTATATAGCGTAACATAATTAAGTGCTTCAATTTGCTGGTGAGGATTATGTAACTGAATTGGAATGTTATACCACTGCCTTTTAAAGTTCTATATCCATGTCCCAGGGTCTGTGGTAACATAAAAGAAAGAAATGATGCGTCCTTTACTAATGATTATTTAACAATTAGAGGTCATTTCTCTTGGACTAGTAATTATTAAGGCTTTTTCTCCCTAGCATTTTAATATTTTGGGTGGATGTTAGTAGATTTAGGTCTTTTTGGCTCATGGGTATGTCAACCCCAGCATAAATTAGTACTACCAACTCATACTGGTTTTTTTTTTTTTTTAAGAACTGGAGATTGAACTCAGGCCCTTGCGCTTGCCAGGGAAGTGCTTATTCTACTGAGCCATCTCCCCGGCCCCTCCCCCCCCCCCCCCCCATACTGCTTTGAAGATAGTGTATGAAGGCTGACCAGTGAATTCTTTTTTTTTTTTTTTTTCTGCTAGTGAATTCTGTAAAGGCAGTAAATGAAAGGGAATACTATCTCAGTAACTTGCTAGATGCAAGGGGCAAAAAATGAAGAAAAACAAAATGAAGGACAATCATTTTGTGAGAAAAATATTTGCTTCTTTCATCAAAGTCCTGATCTTTGAAGACCAAATATAACTTTTAGTTTATGAAGACCTTTATTGTTACATAATACAGCCAATGATGAATTCAGGTTGTTTGAGCACAAATTTCTCTTTTTTATGTTGGTATTCTCACTGCCACATTTTTGAAAACCTGTATTATACTTTATATTCTATTTATAAGTGATAGTTTCCTAATTCTAAAAAAATAAAAAACAAAGCTTCTTATGGTACTACATAGGAAACAATGAAACCTATATTCCGTCTTCAAGAAAAGCACCTAAAGTGATTCTAGGGCAGTGAGTAGGCTTTGAATCTTACAACTTCATTTACATTGATCCTACGATCTTTTTTTCTTTTGGGCAATGTCAATTGAACAGTGAAGTTAGACAACATTGAGAAAATTATTTGCTACCAAATACAACTTTTGAAGGTTCAAATGAACAATGTGATATTTAAGCATGTGTACCTAATTTATTTCATTTAAGAATATGGTCTCAAGGCACATCCATTTCCCTAGGAATGGCTGAAGTTCGTCCTTCTTTGTGGTAGAGTAGTACTTTTGTTGGGTGAAATCAGTTGATGGGTATTTGGACTGTTTTCCAAGCTTTAACTTGCAAAATGTGCTGCTGTAAACATGTATCTTCTAGTATGATGCTTTTAATTCTTTTGGAAAGATACAATGAAGGGGAATAGCTGGGTCAAATGGAACCTCTAATCCTAGTTTTGAGGAACCTCCACACTGATTTCCATAGTAGTTGCTCCAGTGTATGCTCCTTTCAATAGTGGAGAAGAATCCCTTTTTCTTCACAGCCCTGCCAGCATTTTTCATTGGTTGATTTCTTGATAATAGCCAGTTTTTCTGAAGTAAGATGGAATCTCAGCATTATGTTAATTTGTACCTGTCAAACAACTAGTGCTATTTGAGACATCTTTTCATATGTTTGCTGTTTCTACTTCTTCATCTGAGAAGTGTGTCTGTTCATTTCAGATACCCATTTTTGGATTGGGTCTCTAAATTTGAGGGGTGTAGTTAAGAAATTGTTCTCCTTGCTGAAGTTTTCATTACTAAGAGTGGAAAAATCTGCTGGTTAATTTAGGTGTTGCTCATTACTCATTTAGGCTTCCTTCATTACTCTCATCTAAGACACATTACTATCTCAAACATAGACTGAGGGAGGACATTATTATCCTGTTTTATATAGTTATTTATTTATTTTGTGTGTGTGTGGCCAGCTCAGCCCACCAGGGGGCGGGGCTGGCTGGCATGTGGTGCTGGGGGATTGAATATCCTATTTTATATAAAGATGACTAAAATCTATAGAGTCTTAGTCTTATTTGGGTAATAAATATATATGTGAACACTAGCTTTATTTTCTTGCTGTATTCCAGTGCAGTGACTTGCACATCCCTTGGGATGCGCGTTCCCTGCTCTGGGGGCACTGGGGCAGTCAGGGACAGTGACGGCATGGACTGCGGCAGTGATACTGCTAGCAAATGGCAGGTCATTCACTGTGAAAAGTGATATTAAGAAACAGGTTTAGAGATCAGTTCTTGTCTTTGTTTTGAAAGTGTTTAACCCGAGGCATGCCTTTGACATTGAGAAGGACCAGTCAGACAGATCCTGAGAGTCTGAGTTCAGAGGACAGTCCAGGCATGAAGTTTGTTAGTGGTCTGGGATGGATGGTAATGGAAGCCATAGCACTTTCTTGGGGGGAGAGGATGTGTAAGGATAGGATGCAACTGGCTAGAAAGAGCCTTAAAAATAGCAAGAAGTAACATAGCTGTACCTGAGGAGGGATTGTTTCAGCGGAGAAGGTTCGACCTTGCCACACTGCAGAACAGTCAGGAAGGTGCCAGAAAAATGTGGTTACAGATGAATGAGCGCTACCTCAGAGTTCCTCATGAGAGTGTTTATTCCAGTAGGAGAACTCAGTTAAACAGAAAATGTTAGAGATTCAAGAAAGAGAAGGGATTGTTGATGGTGTGATATTCCAGAAAATGCAAAGCAGATGGGATAACAGAGGAAGACCACCAGTCCCACCCTGATTCTGTCCAGCAAAGGAAGGAAGCAGTGTAGTTCTAAGTATACTGGTGTGGTTTGCAGGGAGAACTTGAGGAAGGTGAATGTTTTTGCTTTCTGTAAATTAGAGAAAATTGTCTGCTTAGAGTGGTGAGGGGACGAAATGTATCAAGGTGAGTTGAGAGGGTGGAGGACATTTGAAACAAGCCCTGCAGAATAGGAGAGCCAGTTCACCTTGGAAGGAATGTGTGGTATATGGGAATTTGGTACCAAAGCGAACTGGATTGTCTGCACTGGTTAAAAATGTTCTTTCCTCTCAGCTTCCCACATCATTTTTTTTTTTTTCCAAAATTTTATTGTTCCCACATCATTTGATGAGATATTTCTAACATGACAAAAAGATAATATGGCACTGATTTTGTTTTGTAATTTTTCTCTAAAGAGAATGAACATAGGCCTCAGAGTCTTCCTTGTCATAGCAGACAGCTTGCAGCAGAAAGATGGTGAACCACCCATGCCAACAACTGGAGTGATTCTTCCCTCAGGAAATACTCTTCGTGTAAAGAAGATTTTTCTCAATAAAACCTTGACAGATGAAGAGGCAAAAGTCATAGGTAGTGTTAACTAGAATGAATATGTGGCTTTGTAATACAGTTGAATATTCTTTTGTACAAGTCTGTGATCAAATCTAAAGCACATATTTGCCCAGTAATTGTCATTCTGGTACGTACAATAATACCAAATGAATATTTTTGGCAATATATGTAAATCTTTCTGGGAAGGCTCTTGTGATTTTATCTGTTCATTACATTGTGTCTTTTCTTCAAATTAATTTGACTTTTCTGCAAAATTTTTACATAATTTTTACATACTAAAGCAGATCATCAGGGAGAAGAATGTGTCACAGTTGAAACTCTTTGTGACAATAAGCTAATGCTGTTTAAAAATGGGTTGGCTAAGTATTCTTTATTTAATTTCTGACATTTTATAATTGGGAGTTTTTCTCACCTAGGAATGTCAGTTTACTATCCTCAAGTAAGAAAAGCATTAGATAGCATTCTCCGACATTTGGACAAAGAAGTTGGAAGACCAATGTGTATGACCAGTGTGCAGATGTCTAATAAGGAGCCTGAAGATATGATTACGTATGTAGGAAATACATACCTTCACTGCTGTTTCTTTTTGCATAAAAGAGTGCCGATGGTTATTTCTGCTTACCTGTTTCCTTACTTTCTCATCAAGACTTCTCCCATATTGCCATTTACTATAGTTTTTAATACAGTGATTACTTTCATATGTTCTGTTTTATTCTTTAATATGGTGTCAAACTAGTATAGATAACAAAAGTCACTCTGGATCTCAATGTAGTTTATTATTAATGACAAGGCCTCCAACTCATTATGTAGCCCAGACTGGCCTCAAAATTGCAATATTCCTGTTTTAGCCTCCTAACTGCTAGGATTATAGCTATACGCCACCATGCCTGGCTTGATCTCTCTATTTAATATACAGTTGTTGTATATTGTTGTATTCTAATATCTCTGAGAGTTTATTTTATTTTGGTGGTAGATTTTTGGGGGGCAGAGGGTGTTTTGAGATAGGGAACCCACTATGTGGCTGAGCCTGGCCTTGAACTTGCAACAGTCCTCCTGCCTCAACTTCCTGCGTGCTAGGATTATAGGGTTGTATCACCACACTCAGCTTGAGAGTCTCTTTAATGTAGAGTTTTTATGTGTATTGCTTGCTCTGAAGTGTCTTCTTCCTTTTCATCACAACCAGTTTTCCTCACTTAACGTCAATAGTTTGTTATTGTGTAGTTTTTCTGTTTTGTACTGTCTCAAATGATAGCGGTATCATTTTTCCCTGATTATCTATTCTTTTGTATTTCCAATAACATTCCATTTTAATGCACCTTTGATGCATTTTAATGTAGGGTCTTTAAAATAGAGAACATCTTTTTACTGATTAAGAGAAACCTAAGATGAAATAAAAGTTTTATTACTTACAGGTCCTACATAGCGCACCCGGAAGTTACATGCACAGAAGTCATGGGGCAGATGGGGAGAGTAAGAAAGAGAAAAGGGCTCTGGGCCAGTGCTTTTATTGGGCCCAGGTGTTATCCAAGTCACATTCCCTGAAAGAGGGAGCTTAAAGCAAACAGTCAAAGTTCCAGGAAGTCACGTTGTGACTGAGAGATGATCCCTGTGGCTTGTCAGCACAGTCCACATGGGGTGTGGAGTCAGCAGGGCCAGTCAAGCAGGATATACCCCACTGTCCTACAGGGAGGCAACAGAGACCCGGATGGATGCACTGAACCAGGAAGAAGGGAGTGTGGAGAACTAGAAAGTGTCAAAGTGAGCCCTATTTCTGTGACAAGAAAGTTGAAATGACATTTAAGATGGATGCTAAGCCAACATAAGAATTTAAGAACTTGCTCCACAGTGCCCTCATTCTTTTTTCTTTGTTGCACTTTAATCTTTGTTCCTTAATTCTTTTGATTATCCATTTTGGCAAAGGTCACATGGCTTTATCCCTTGAGACAAGCCGGCCCCACACCTGTACACTTCGCTGTGTGTGGGGACAGGTGCACACTGACTCACTACCAACTGCTTGAAAGGCAGGGCGTGGCTCAGCTTCAGGATTCATAGTGTGCACCTGTTATTTACACAGTACTTTATGGGCTTGGGAGCCAACAGCAAAGTTATGGTAGCTGAAATTTCAACCATGTTATTCAGAACTCCTGTTATTTAACTACATTGTAACAAATTCATGTGCATTGGAACCATGCAAAGGGAGGACTATAAAAATCTAAAAGTGGGGCAGGGGAGATGGCTCAGTGGAATAAGTACCCAGGCAAGCACAAGGGCCTGAGTTCAATCCCTGGTTCCGGAAAAAAAAAAAAAAAAAAAAAAAAAAAAAAAAAAAAAAAATCTAAAAATCTCCACAAGGAAATAGCACGTCCATTTCCACTATAACAAATACCTAAAATATGTAGAACATTCTACTCCTTTTCTATTTAACGATTATATTTTTAGGCCAAGGGGAGAACAATTTGACTATAATAGGTTAATAAAAAGCCTTACTTTAAAATGAAAACTATGGCCAAATAGCTCAACAGATTAAAGCATCTGCTTAGGCAGACGCAGCAGTGGCTGAGGTTTGTTCCCCCGAGTGTCATGCTGACACTGCCCCCAGGGTGCACTAAGCTGGCGATTGAGACTAGGCCTGGTAGCACACGCCTGTAATCTCAGCTCTTTGGATGAAAACAGGAGAATCACTACAAGTTCGATTTAAATAGTGAGACCCTGTAGACCGTATAGGCCCTTACTAAAATATAAAAAATCAATAAAATGAAAACTAAATTCCAGCACATTAAGATGTTAGCCATTTAAATAAAATTGTCAGATAACTACAAGAAAATATAGTAAAGGGTTGGGGACGTAAATTAACGATAGACCACTGCCTAATACAGTACATGCAAAGGCTGGGGTTCATTCTGGAAAAGACAGCAAAAGAAAAGATGGTAGAGTTAAACTGGTTAAGCCTCTGTTCTAGAGGGACCAAGGTTTTAAAAATTAGCATGTTTTTTCCCCTAAAATTTAAATATATATTTTTGTATTGTGAAACGCAGGAGGACAAAGGAGATAGTACCTTTGATAACACAGGAGAATATCTAATTCTCAATATCTTGTTAGTTTTATTAGCATAGGAAATTATTATTATTGTTGTTGTTGTTGTTGTTGTTGTTGTTTTATTTTATTTTATTTTTTGCACAGTACCGGGGATTGAACTTGGGACCTTGGGCTTGCTAGGCAAGTGCTTATTCTGCTGAGCTATCTCCTTGGACCTAGCACAGGAAATGAAATGAAGAAAGTTGTTTAATGTTAGAGGCTCGAAATAATAACATTAAAATACTTAATGTCAGTATTGTTATTTATAGCATTAATTATATTTATATCGATGTTATTATAGTATTAACATGTAGTGATTATTGGATACTAAATATGTGAATGATCTTAATGTTTGAAATAAGTATTATAAGTAAATTGAGTTAATTACTATCTAATACAGTTTCTTTGCTTGTTTGCTCATTAACAAAATCTTTTTTTTTTTTTTGGCGGAACCAGGGATTGAACTCAGGCCCTTGCGCTTATTCTACTGAGCTATCTTCCCAGCCCCAAATC